CAAACTAATGGAAACACATGAACTATGAACCAATAGCTGAGGGGCCCCCAACTGGATCAGGCCCTCTGGATAAGTGAGACAGTTGATTAGCTTCAGCTGTTTGGGAGACATCCAGGCAGTGGGACTGGGACCTGTCCTCAGTGCATGAGCTGGCTGTTTGGAACCTGGGGCTTATGCAGGGACACTTTGCTCAGCCTGGGAGGAGGGGACTGGACCTGCCTGGACTGAATCTACCAGGTTGAACTAAATCCCCAGGGGAGTCTTTGCCCTGGAGGAGATGGGAATGGGGGGTGAGCTGGGGGATCAGAGGGGGGAGGACAGGGGAATCTGTGGCTGATATGTAAAATTATAAAATAAAAAAATTAAAAAAAGAAATTAGTGTAAGCAACTAATAGAATCTCATCAAAATGAAAAAAACAAAAACAAACACAAACAAACAAGCAAAAAAAACCATGAGAGCAGATTTTTCTTGGTCTTGGAGGGTAGTGCCCTTTGGTTCAGTATCCATGAGTACAGAAGAGCAAGCCATGTAGGGTCTGACAAATTTTTGTAGTAGAAATGGATGGGGCAGCGGCGGGGGGGTGGGGGGGATAGCTTCGCTAGAGTCAGTGACTTATTTTCAAAACTGCAGGGTGGGAGATTGCCTATTTTTGCCACCTTTGGTGTCCATGGTAATCCAAGGGCCGCAGCTTCCCAGGAGCCTTGGGTCTGTTTGACGGCCCTGGTTTAGAGTGGGTGATCTCTTTCATTTCCATGTTTAAAGCACAACTTATTCCCGAGCGGAGAGAGTCTCCCTCGGGGAAGCCGGCCCAAAGAGGAAGGCTGCAGGGAAAACACTAAAGCCTAGTCCCACCTCACTCCCGGCCGCACCTGCTCTGAAAACCCAGGAAACTTCCCTAGCTCGACCAAGAGCCACCTAGAGGACAAGCGCATGCGCAGTAAGCACAACTCGGGCTTGCCCGCAAACGTCACTCCGGGCCAGGCGGCTCCGCCCTTCTCAAGATGGCGCTGTGCTCCGTGCGGAAGGCGCGTGAGTGCTGGAGCTTCATCCGGGCACTTCACAAGGGACCCGCAGCTACTCCTGCGCCCCAGGTAACCCGAGCGGGCCCTCTGCAGCGGGCTTCCGGTCCTGCGAGCGCCTTGCCGCTCCGCTTCCCTCCCGGCACTGATTTCTCCCTCCTTGCTTCCTGTAAAGAGTCCCCTGCCCTTTCTCTCCGAGGTCCTCCTAGCCTATGAGTGTCCCCGACTCGGGGCGTGGCGACGTCGCAAACCCACGTGACAGAATAAGGCGATGCGGCTGGAAGGCTCACGCCGCCCGGCCACGTGGCCACCGTTGCCAGGCAACGCAGGAAGCCATCTCTTGAAAGAGTGCGACTGTTGTCAGAGACCTAGTTGCTCTGAGGCCTTTCTAGGCACTGTTCTGTCATGTTTTGTTTTGTTTTGTTTTGTTTTAATACTTCCTTTCCGTAACAGCTACCCCGGGTGCAGTGGAGAAAGCGGAAAAGGTGCCTTAGGATTGGTCTTTAGGTTGGTGCTGCAGCTAGCAGCGTGGAACACCTTGATCCTTAGGCCTGTATTCACCAGGCCCTGTAACCGACAACAACCCAGAGGTGCTTTGCTGTTGCTTGCCTGACAGCACTGAGGTTACCATGACTGCTGCTGAGCTTGATACTTTGGGTTGAGACCCGCCATATTTGCATTTTACCCTCAAAACCAAACAGTGGCTGGAGGTCTGCTTCCACTCGTTCAGATAGGCACCATACATCCCAGAATATGGCTTTTTGACTTAGATTATCAAGGAAGTAAGGTCTGAGAGAGGGAAGGAAGTCTGAGCTTCTGTGAGTGAAGCTCCTTCATCGCCGTTAATGCACAGATGTGACATGAGGATGTCATATCATAACTGATGTACTGAAAAGCAAGCCAGCCTGGAAGTTAGGAAAACATCCCAAACGTTCCTGGCTTTTTCTGACATTTGCTAGCTGTTTTATAGATCGAGTCTCAATCCTCTGGGCTTATTTTCTTTAGCAGATGGGATAGAGGAAGAGTTGAATTGATTGGCATGTTAATGTTTCCAAGGCTGGAAATCCTGTGGGTTCATGACTATAAAGATAAAGTATAACCAGTGAGTGTAGATGAAAATCAACATGTAAGACTGTGTTTCTAATCATCCCATAAGTTACTTGTTCTCTGAACTTCTCTTTTCTTCATTAATATAAACCTCACAAGATTCTGTAAGAATAAAAAACATAATATACTGGAGACTCAGCAAACAGCTATTCAAATGTTACTTTAAGTTTTAAGAAACAGTGTTAGGTAAGAATTGATTCCAGCTTTAACCATCAAATGCTGTTTTCCTTGAGGTTTGGGAATTTGATTCTTTAGAATAGAAATTTGACAGGCATATTAATGTGTATGCAACCAAGAATTTCTGGGACAGATTGCTATTTTAAAACCTTTAATTTAGCTTTAAATAAAAAGAATTAAATGTTAAAGTACTGTTTCTGCAGTGTCATAATGCCTATCACTTAAAAATGATGGCATGAAAGACGAGGGCAAGCCCTGCCTGATGGCAGAGGCCTGTAATCCCCACTATTCTTGAGGGTGAAGTAGAGGCAAGAGGATCACAAGCTCAAGACCAGACTGGGCTACAAAGTAAGTTCAAAGTCAGTCTGGTAATTGAGTTTTTTTTTTTTTTTATCTCAAAATAAAAAGTAAGATGATGGCTGGGGATACAGCTAAGTGTCAGTGCACATGATGACCGAGGTGTAAAAACACTAATGAAGTCCTCCTGAAAGACTGATGGAAGGGATTAAACATTGTACTTACAATATCATTGCAATAGTGTTTGTACGTAAGTGTTTGCACTTAGGAAAAAAGACTGGAAGGAAACAACCTCCTTTAACATTTTTGTTGTGTTTTGTTCACCCTAAATAGTGGATTAAAAGTAATTTAAGTGTGCTTTAAGCATTTGCCTCATGTGTTTCAAATTGCAGATATATCACTTTTATAACCAGAAAAATTTGAAAGCATAAATCTCCATACAAAACTGTAGTCACTGGTGCTGTTTTGGCATTTTAGGTTTCTGAAAGAGATACCTGTCCTATATTGCCATTATTAAAGTGGCCTTAGAAAACGACTCCTAAAAATTTATGGCCACTTTTCCTGTGTGTGTCTTCTTTTTCTATTGAAAAGCTTCCTTTGAAGTCCAAGGGATTTTGTGAGCAGATGCAGAAATATGTGAAGGAAGACTTGGATTCTCAAACCAGATGCACTGGACATTTTTATGACATCTCATAACCTTTGTAGAAAACAAAAAAAATTTTTTTGTAAGAGCATATTATAATAGAAGGAATTGCATATTTATCACATAGGAGGTTTTGCTTTTTTTTTTATCAAACCAAGGAATGGTGAAGTTACTTGGTTGTTGGTTTAGGCTGTGCACTTGCCCCCTGAGGTGGGAGCTGACGCAGATGAGCCATAGGGTGCTTTGTTAGAAGTTGTGCTGAATGTACTGTGAATCCTAAGTTCTTTCAATGTTTTGGGAATTTTTTTAAGCAATATCTTGGATAAGAAATGTGTTATTTGTGAGAAGTGTGGCACATTTACTCCTCAAAGCGACACGTACACTCAAACATAAAGTAGCAAGAAAGGGGCTAGAGGCGTGGCTAGTGCTTGCCTAGGATGGGAGAGGTTCTGGGTTTAGTCTCGGTATTTTCCGGAGGGGAGCAGGGGAAGAAAATCCGAATTAGAGCACATCATACCATATTCATCGTGGATGTCTACAATTTATGTGAAAATGGTTTATTTTGTCAGGTGTTGCTTGACAGGAAACTGTTGAAATCTGACGAGATGAGAGTAATCACGAAGTCAGAGAAATGAAAATCTGACGTGATGTTTAAAGGCTGATGGTATTAGGTACATTTAAGCCTGTCATCATTGACCAAACACAAAATCTGTCCTTCTTTAAGCACCCATTCATGATTGTGTTTTGGAAACAATGAAATAGTCTTGGTTAGAAGATTTTTGCAAGACTATTTGTAATCATTCTCTTCACATATAAAAAGTCCTTTTTTCTTTCTTTCTTTTTTTTTTTTTAACCCCTCCTCATCCTAGGTTTGGCCAACACTGTCCTATTCTTTTTCCTGCTGATGGTCAAAATGTAACCATTAGATGAAGGAAACATGGTTCAAAAAGAAAAAAGAGCCACTGCCTTAAATTTCTGGTTGTGTGATAAAACTTTTAAAAGACCTTAAGATTTCCAAAGTTGCAGAGTTAGTTCCTGTCTAGCCTGTGATACAGTTTGTGCCACACACTCATAATTGTCAAAACTGAAACCTAACATCTGTGCAGTGCTGTCAGTTTGGGTATAAACCAAATTCTAATTTTGCCAGTTCTGCCAGCACTCCTGTGGCTTCATCCGAATTGAATGCAGGATCCCAGGTTTCATTGCTGTGTGCTCTCCAACAGGGATTACTCTCTGCTCTTCACCATTGAAAGTAATACCTTTGCCACTATCCAAGAGTACACGTTGTAGGTAGGGTGGCTCAATGTGAGTTCTCCTAGGGATTTCTCATGGTTAGACCAGAGTTGCGGGTTTTGGCAAGAGTACACACAAGAGATGTTTCCGACTCGGTAGTGAGGCAGGTGTTAGCACTTTAAGAACTAGAAAATAAGATTTGTTTAAATCCTTTCCCAGTTAATTAGTGGTGGAACTGGGACGGTAAAGTTTACTGTGGGCATTACGCTCCACAGTTTATGATTATTGTTGGTTAGGTTTCTTTGATCATAATGCCATGAAATTGGGGTGTTGCTGGTAATGTTTTACTCGGTTTGTTTCCAGTTCTGTCTGTGCAGTATGCTCCATCTGCTCCACCTGCATGGGAAGCTTTAGGAGCTGCCACAGTCAGCTCAGACCGAGTCTTGTTAGCTGAGGACTGACTGTGTCAGTGTGATCAGACTGTTTGATCAGTTCTGCTTTCTTAAGCAGTGCAAGAGGGCGCTCTGTGGATCCACCCTGCGGCTTCTTTTCATCTCAAGAAGTAAATACGTTTGTTGAAAATGCCCTTTAGGTTAGTGGTCTATGTGGACTGAGTTGGTATAAATATAAATATCTCAGGTCTTTGAAAAATAACTCTGGACAGCCAATAAAAACCACTGAAGGTTTCTGCTGGAAACACAGAAGAACTGTAGATAATCCTTAGGGATGCCACAAGCAAGGAGTGCTGAAGAGAGAAGACTGCTGCCCTGCAGATTTCTTCTGAGTTTATTATTTTCATACCTGCATGTGCAGAACTGTCTACACAAAGGAGCTGGTATGTGTGTGTATGTTTGTGTTTGTGTAGATAGATAGATGATAGATAGATAGATACATACATACATTCATAGAAACATAGATAGACATATTTGTATAGATATGTACATATGTATATATAGATATATTAATGTATATATGCCTGCACATACATATATTTGTATCTTTTAGAAGAAGAAATGATATTTGGTCAGCACATGCTGTGTGCTAAAGCATCATGATCTATGCCATGCAAACCTTATCTTACTCTTTCCAATAGTTTTTGTAACTCTTGTTTTATGCATTTTATGAAAGAAGACACTAAACTCAGGGAGAATAGTTGACTTTCCCAAGACACAGAACTAGTAAAGAACAGTGCTGGGATGCAAACCCTGATTTGCCTCTGGTTTTTTACTTGATCAGGAATTACCTCTTATCAGTGAAATAGTTTAGGGAGTAGAGGAATACCCATAGCCCTTCTTGTCTGAGTCCTCCTCCCCAATCCCACACAACCCAGGGCCTCTGA